TGCAGCTTCTGTTTTCAAACGGGGCTGTTTGCGGTTCCCGCTCAAAATGCTTTGTGCTGTTTATTACTTTATGCATTATTCATTCATTCATACAACTTTATTTCCAGAATCAAGGTCCATCAGCAAAACACACAATACAAAGCAGTACAATGACATTTTAAAAAGGCAGTTATACCAATGCTTTCTCGTTGGTGACTGATGGCACCACAGTAAGCCTAGGATTTGACAACAGCATTATAATAGCATGCTGTGAATTATCCAACCAGCAAATAAATTTATACATTACATTTCTCATTAAAGCCTGAAAGCATTGTGCTTTTGCCTTACAGAACAGATCACTTGCATTGCTTCATCTTGGTGTTTTCAGCAGGATCCTCAGTCATTGTAAGCAACCTAAAGCTTACATAGTCTTTCTTTTTAAACTTAACCCACAAGGGAGCAGTATAAAAATATGTACTATATGCTCTAAAAAGGTTTATCTTTACCTGATCCAAACACATTTATCATGTTCTAAGCAACATGTTTGCTTGAGCACATGGGTCACAGAAGCGGGGGTCCGCCCGGGCCCTGGTTACTTTTGAGGTCTGCTACAAATATGACATAAGCTACAAAAATACATAGGCTATAGGCTCATATGTATGCACGAGAAAAGATTGCGATCTCGATTCAAACACACGCTATCTTATTCCTAAATGACGATTCCGCTGTCTATTAAACCTTTGAAAACACAACCACATCGGAATATTTAAACCTGCTTTCGCCCAGCCTCTGATCCAGAGACAGCAGCCCTCATCATGCAAGCTTTATGTTTGAAACAGCTTCACATACACAGTATTGCAAACATCAAATAATGAAGTATTGGGATAAAATGTTATACTCCGGATATAGACTGGTGTTGCGGCTGCCAATATCAAAATGAGTAATTGACTTTTGGAACTAATGTTACGCTTCAAATATAGATTGTACATGTTACATTATGCCATTAAGTGACGACCAGTGACTGTTAAAATGTATTTGATGTCTGAATCATTCATAAAAGAGGATCGTTCAACAACTTGATGAAAACAATTCTTCATTCACTTATTTCAAATGATTTTTACATAATGAATTCATTTCAATTAATACATATTTTAAAGACTAATTGATAATATTTTAGACATTTATAAATAGATCCATTTATAAAATTAAATAAAACATTTTGTCAGAAACTCAAGTAAACTAGCCTACATATCTTGTTTGGTTGTGTAGTGTTTTGTTTTCAGAATCGAAGCCCAAACCCCAGATGTATATACATTAAGAATAACTAACTTCTAAACAGTCAACTTCAACCTTTTTATTTATCAGTCCAACTTTTATGCCACAAGGTCTATCACACAAACACTAACACAGCCTTTATACGTTTCCTACTAACAAGATTGTATTTATTGGTTATACAATGTTTTTTTTTGTGTGTGTAAATAGTTGTAAAATAATCACCAGCTGTTGATTTTATTTGTGGTTATTCACGCTGTTAGTGTAATTATTTGGTTGATCTCTTTTATTTTAAAGTTTGTATGGCTTATCAATATGATAGAAACAAACTAAAAGAAAAGCACTCTCTATCAGATGACGTAGGTGGCTCTTAAAAGAGCCTTTGTGTGCTGCTTTTAAACGAGCGTGCCAGTCGCCCATTGGTTTAGAGCGTTGTAAGATTTTAAACCAATCACTGAACTTCCCTCCAACACCCACCGCCAAAGCCACGCCTCCACAGCTGGCGCGCGGATTGTGCTGAATTTAGGACTAAACACATGACAGAAAACATGAAATTGTTATGGGGGTTTGAATAAGGTTTTTAAAAATATCAATGCAAAAACAATAGTAAATAGTGTTTTTAACCTAATTAAATTTAGATCAATGATACATTAAAGCTGTTCATATTAATAAACGTGAATAACTTAAAAAAAAAAAACATTAGCAGTCGAGGTAAACTGAGACACTCTTATAAAAGTTTACTTCTACTAAGAGTTTGATCTTTCTTTCGAGTTTCTGGGTGGCTCTGAAAAGAGCCGTTGGGGAATAAGACAGTAGATTTTTATTTCTTTTTGGGAGCTGCCTTTTTAGGCTTGGTAGCTTTAGGCTTTGCCGCCTTGGGTTTGGCAGTCTTGGCCTTCTTGGGGCTCTTGGCTGCCTTTTTGGGGCTCTTTGCTGCTTTCTTGGGCGCTGCGGGCTTCTTTGCTTTCTTGGGGCTCTTCGTCGTCTTCTTAGCGGCTGCAGCGGGTTTCTTGGCCTTCTTGGGCGATTTTTTAGCCGCGGGCTTCTTGGCAGCAGCGGGTTTCTTGGCCGCGGGCTTCTTGGCTTTAGGAGCAGCTTTCTTGGCCGGTTTCTTCTTGGTCTCGACTGGCTTCTTGCTGATCTTGAAGGAGCCGGAGGCGCCGGTCCCTTTGACCTGCAGCAGGGTGCCTTTAGTCACCAGGCTCTTGATGGCGAGCTTGACGCGGGAGTTGTTCTTCTCCACGTCGTAGCCGCCGGCGGCGAGAGCTTTCTTCAGGGCTGCGAGGGACACGCCGCTCCTCTCCTTGGACGCGGACACGGCTTTAACGATCAGCTCACCGACGCCTGGACCTGCTTTCTTGGCTTTGGCAGCGGACTTCTTCTTGGGCGCTTTGGCCGGCGGGGCGGCAGCAGCTGGAGCGGTTTCTGCCATCTCTCTGAGCGGAGTTACAGTCTTTCAAACACTGAGTTCAATGAGT